TAATCTGTACTTGCTTTGAAAATTCTTTAAGAATTCACATATATTATCATTACTGCCTTCTTCTTCGTCTTGCGTGTCTTCCTCATCTTGAAATCGCTCCTATTTAAGAAAATTAAGTTTAATCCTTTTTTTTTTGGCTTTTAGCTTATAGATACCGGTTCATTATTATTAATATAGAAACTTTGAACAAAATCCTAATTCAAATTATAGTTAGAAAAGAGTCAGTATATAGCACACCTTTATAACTTACTTGATCCACTTCAAAATTATCTTGGAATATATCATTCACTTTTTTTCTAAAGCTTTTTGCACCCTGTCCTGATAGTATGGCTCCTGTAATTTTTCCCTCTTGTATTGCATATTCTTCTTCTTTTTTCAAAGTTGCCAGTCTTTCTTGCTTAATATAGTCATTAAAAAAGTCTTTTTTGATGGCGGAGTTGTTGTATCTTTCAAGAGTAGCTTGAGCATATGCAGTACTAGTATAAGAGCATTGGTAAGAATACCTTTTTTTAGTGCGATGATCTATAAGTGCAATCGTATGATCCAAGTAGTAATCATTCTTGAACCAAAACACCAATCAATTTCTGGCCATTCCTAGAACCTGTCGTAAGAGATCATTGGGTTGTCCAACCTGGTGGAATGAGCTTCGAAGCCTTTATAAGGAATTTTTAGTGCAAAAATCCATGTACTAATGACAACTGGCAACATTCCAAGAACATTGGGGTCGTGGGATGAAAGGCTGCACAAAGAAAATCCAACCGTTCCAATACAAAGAGCAACTCCAGCAGTTCATTTATACAGGATTTTTAAGACCCGAATATAAGTTTGGATTCTATTCTGAATAAGGAATTGAAACAAAGAAAACCTGAAAGCAACACCAGCAGCTTTCTTTTTTCTTTTCTTTTTTCCTCCTCTTCTTATAGGATTTGAGAAATACAGTTAATAGTTTCCTCAGGCCACCATAATTCCTAGTGTCTAGCTAATTTTTATGAACGTATTTTTTAAAATTAGACTGTCAAGCTCTTTATAAAGTCTCTAACAGGAGAAGAAGAAGAAGGGGAAGAAGAAGAAGAAAAGTTGCACAAATTAAAAGCATAAGAACTGTTACTGTTGTCCAGATAAATTTGTTAGAGAGGGCAGACAAAATACTACTTATCCATTCAAGCGTCTATTTTTCTTTGCTTCTAATGTATACTCTATAAATTCGAATATGATGGGGCTATGTACTGTCTGTCAGAGTCTTGTTTTACTTTTAATGACTTGGCAAAGGTTAATGAGGCGGAGAGTAAAAAAAAAAAGAATAGGAACTTTTTTTTGCTTTCCAAAAAGAGAAAGACGTGTAACCAAGGACTAGGATTGTAAGTCGTATTTTCCACTGTCACATTTTTCTTTATTTTTTCCTTTCCGATTAATGCTTTAAGTACAAACTTTTGACCATCTGTCAACTACTCATTCTACATTATGGCTATTGAAAAGAAACGCCCCAGAGGACTCAAGGGAAGTGCCGCCCAAAAGGCCGCCAAGAAAACAAAAACCGAGGAAACCCCCGAATCTAGCGTTCCTGAGAATGCCCAGACAGTTGTACTTGGCAAGGTGGTTGAAGAAGGTGACGAGGTTGGAGAGGCTGCTGCACTTTACGAGAGTGCCATTGAAAAGATGGGTAAGCTTAGCCGATATAATATTTGTATGAGAAGGAGGGAATGGAGAAGTACTTTATACTAACGGTATAGTATATTATAGAAAACTCCCCCTCTGAAGCACGCGCTTTGTTGCGTGGTACTATCCACGAGTCAGACCGTATTCTGCGCAATTGGGACGCTACAAAGACAATGCCTCTGGAGTTTTACTTCACCTATGGATCTGCTTTGTTTGAACTCGGCCGATTGACTGAAGACGAAGAATTTGACCCTTATTTGGAGGCAGCCGAGGAGCGCCTTGAGGATGGCTTGGCTCATTATGAAACTCTCGAAAACAAGGATGATTCGACTGCTATGATGAACTGTATCAAGGTGTCTTTGGCTAAAGTGTGGCTTTCAAAGGTAAATTAGGTTTCTTTTTTCTTTATTTTAGGTTATTCTTTATGTTGGTTTGTTGGTATATAATATAAATATTCTGCTGATTTTAATCCACCCCTTTATTATTAATTATAAGGCCGCAAGTGAGGTAGACCAAGGATCTGATGTGATCCCCGAATTGGCTAAACGTGCATTGGAGACTTTGGAAGAGGTGGTACCATTAGCCTCTTTGTCCAATGCAACCAAGGTTGAGTTAGCTTCGATTGTCCAGAATCACGGTGATCTGTACACTGAGTGGGATTCTCGTACAAAGTTCACCAACTGGGCTGAAAAGCTTTTGGAAGAAGTTCTTGCAGGTATATAAAATTATGTTAATCGATATTTTAGTGATATGATGCTGATATGGCTTTGATAGATTCTCCCAGTCATTCCAAGGCGTTATCTGAGATTGGTTTGTGCAAGCTTTCTCTTGCAAACTACTGGTTAGATCAAGTCAACGAAGATAATGATGACGAGGAAGAAGAAGAAGAAGAAAAGTCCGAAAGAACAGAAGAAGAGAATAAGGCTTTTGAAGCGTTTGGTGAATGTAAGTTGAGTCCTTTTTTGATAGTATTATTATTTTTATCATTGATTTGATTTGATTTGATTTGATTTGCATTACTGATTCAATAACATACCATATAGCCAAGAAATACCTTGAAAAAGCACACGCTAACCTCAAGATGATGGAACAATTGGAGCCCCATCACTCAACCGATCTCGCTGAAGCTTGTTTGAATCAGGCCAATTTGATGCTCGAAGAAAAGGAGCGTACAGACCTCTACAAGCAGGCTATTGAATATATTCGGGAAGCAAAGGAAGTAGCTTCTAAATCAGATCAGGACTATGAGTTACCTGATGCTTTGGAGAGCTTCCTTGAAGAATGGGAAGAGTAAAATAAAACAAAACAAAAAAACGTTACTCTAAACCTGTGCTTTTATCACACAGACGATCGTATACTATATTTTTGCTTCTTCTCTAGCGTTCCCAAACAGGAGTAAATAACTATTTTTAAGGAAATGAAAAATTGTATAAATTAAGAACACACACACACGCACACACACACGTATTTGTTATATATTTTATTTTATTTTATTTTATTTTTGTGCGTGTTCTCGTGCTTGCTCAACCAATATATAAAAGCAAAAAAAAAAATAATCAAATTATTGTCTTCTATCTTTATTCACTTTTAAATACTTCTTATGAGTGAAGAAAGAGACCCTCTCCTCACACCGGATAGGGATGACGATGATATCTCACCATCCGATCGCAGACAACAATCTGGCAATCGCAATGGTGGATTAGGAAATGGTCGATTCTCTTTTCTCGAAAAAACTTTGTTCTTTTTGACCGTATCTCTGTTTTTTATCCTTTGCGTCTTTGCTGGCCTTTATGCTAGAAGAGTATATGATGAGCCCAACGAAAAGCCAACCCCAGTACACCCTCCAAAGCCTCCTCATGACAACACCCCCGAAGTAAGTTTCAGTATATTAGCAAGTCTATATATATATAACGCGCTTTCATATAACAAAAAAAAGCAGGGGGTGGAGAAGGGGAAGGGGAAGGGGGAGAGTAGTGGAAAAATAAGTCTTATTTTTTCAATGATAACCGTGCGTTCATATTGATCCAATTCTTTCTTTTCAGCCACGGTGTTTGACCTCCCAATGTGTACTGGTTGCGTCAGATATCCTCAAGGTAAAGGAGAGTGCTTTACTCTCATAAGTATAATACACAAAATTGATTCACAGGCTTAATTTTGGTGTAACAATATAGGACGTTGACTTGACCTTAAACCCCTGTGATGACTTTTATGAATACACGTGTAAGCTTTGTTAACTTGCCGTACCTTTTTCTTTCTTTTCTTTTTTACCAACACGCATTTACTTCTCTTTTTTTTTAGGTAGTAATTGGATGAAAAACAATCCTATTCCTGAAGGCCAATCATCCAAAAGTTACTTTGAAAGCTTATCCAAGAACAATAAGGAAGTCTTGCATTCTATCTTAACCCAAGACTTTGAAGAATTCTACAACAACACCCACAATGGCAAACAAGACAGTGAGTTGCCTGACCCAGAAAAGTTAATTGACAAGCAAAACTTTGAAAAAGTCAAGACCTTTTTTGATTCCTGCATGAACGAGGTTGCGATTGATGGAAGAAGCACAGAACCTGTCTATCCTATTCTCCGCCAGATCCGCGATGGATACCCTGCTGATGTGGTGAATCCCAAGGGAAACTCAAAATCGAGTGCACTGGTTGACACCTCTCGACTTACAAACATCTTGGCTCTTTTGTCGAAGCACAGTATTGGCGCTCTCTTTGAATTGGTTACGATTCCTGTAAGTTCCACTCTTTTTTCTTTTTCTTTATTTCCTGTGAATAAAATGTTTCAATTATAGACAATCTCACTATAACATATATGTATTTTCAACTTTTTTGCAATACGTTTATGTATTATAGGACCCTAAAGATCCTCTCAAGAGCTCACTTGAAATGTACCAATCCGGGCTTACTTTGCCCTCTAAAGAGTATTATACGCAACCTGAATTGGTTCAGAATTTGTTTGATGTTGTAGCAGAAACCATGGAGGCTGTATTTAGCAAGAATGCCTCCGAATTCGGGTGGAACCGTTGGAGCGCAAATACCACAGCTCGTCTTGTAGTAGATTTCGAAAAACGTCTTGCTGAGATCAGTGACTACAGGGAATACTTTTATGACACCGAGGCGACCTACAATCCTCTCACTCTTTCGCAACTGTTCAACATCTCATCCTCGATTGACTGGGGACTGTACATCTCCCAAATGTTGCCAGTAACTGCCTCTCAGCCAGACTTCATCCTTGTAACATCGCCCGAGTACATCTCCAAAGTATCTAGTGAAGTTCTTGGCAAGAGTACAAACCGCGCTATTCAGTCCTTTTTGATGTGGCAAGCCATCAAGTCATACGCACCTGCTCTGGGCGAGGAAATACGGAAGCCGCTTCACAAATTCAATGCCAAGCTGAGTGGCACAAATCCCAAGGTCACAAAGCCTCGCTGGGAAATTTGTCTCTCTCAGGTCGATGACTCGACTGGATTCCTTGCCGGTCGATACTTTGCACTATCAAAGTTTCAGGGTGACTCTAAAAAGAGAGCTGATGAGATTGTTGAGTCTATCAAAGAGGCTTTTGTTAACCGATTGCCTGAATTGGCTTGGATCGATGATGCTACTCGTGAACGTGCGGAAGAAAAGGTATATATCTATATGTGTTTGAGTACAAGACAAGAAGACACGATAAAGTCTTGATGGTTGATGGGTATACGTTACTTATTTATCTTATTTCGTTTTATCTTTCTCTCTATAAATATGTTTATCTTCTTTTAGGTTGCAAAGTTGATTCGCAAGATTGGTTATCCTACCGAGATTCCAAATGCTATGTCTCCCGTATCATTGTCTGACTATTATTCGGATTTAAAGATCCAGTCAAAGAACTTTTATGAAAACTTTGAAAACAGTAAAAAATGGGCTTCAAAGGCCATCTGGAAAGAAGTCGGAAAACCACCAAACAAGGCAGTTTGGGAAATGAACATTCAAGTAGTCAATGCTTATTACAACCCCTCTTTCAATGAGGTAAGTTTTCAAGAGAGAAATATCTCAGCCGAGTTTGTTGACATATACGTAAAACACAGATTGTATTCCCTGCAGGAATCCTACAAAACCCATTCTTCCGTAATGAGCATCCTGAATATCTCAACTATGGTGGTATTGGTGCTGTTGTTGGTCACGAACTTTCCGTAAGTACTTTTTATTATCATTATTAAAAAGACATTTTAATAATGTTTTGATTCCTTCGTTCTTCTTCTTTATAGCATGGATTTGATAATATGGGTCGTCATTATGACCCTGATGGTCGCCTAGTGGAATGGTGGACAAACCAGACTTCTGCTTCTTTTGATGAAAAAACCAAATGTTTTGTGGATCAGTACTCCAACTTCACTGTCGAAGGCGGCGATGGCAAGCAAATTCATCTCAACGGAAAGCTCACCTTGGGCGAGAACTTGGCTGATAACGGTGGACTTGGCCAGTCCTATCTGGCATGGAAAAAGCGCTATGAGAGTGACAAGGACAGCAAGGTTTACAACAATGTTCTCTTGCCAGGCCTTGATAATTTGACTCGCGATCAGTTATTCTTTGTGAACTTTGGCCGTATTTGGTGCTCAAAACGAACCAAAGAGTTGTCTAAGCAACTGGTAAGTACAAACATGGAATAAGCATAAATAAAGCCATATAGAACTAATTCAACAAATATCTACTCGATTTTTTTTCTCTTTCTCGTTCTCTCTCTTTATTTTGCTACTGGAATACAGGTGTTTACCGATGAGCATTCTCCTGGTAGATGGCGTGTAAATGGAGCTGTGCAGAACTCTAAAAATTTTGCCGAAGTCTTCAAATGCCCTGCTGGTAGTCCTATGAACCCAGTAGATAAATGTGAAATGTGGTAATTAAATAACTCGATTGTTTTGCTGTTTTTTTTTCTTTAAAGAAACAACAACTATCAATAAATACATTTTTTGTACAACACCTCTATAATACTCAGTGTAATTTATATTTGACAATATATGAATACTATTTCTATGTGGTTTATCAAAGTTACATTATCATTTAAAGTATTTGTTGACAGTAAAGAGATTTGGTGGCAAACTTTGCGTAAAACTTAGTAATAACAAAGGGAATGTCACGTTGAGGTACCTTTGAAACAAGGTACACACATCCTGCATAGTCAAACAACGCAAACAGACCCTTCCTGGTAGTCATGTACTATTTGAAACTTTCACTGAATAACAATAATAATGTGGACCTCGACCTTTTACATATGGATATAAATATCTTATCCTTATTTGACAATTTTCTCCTTAAGACCATTATTATAAAAGCATAGTAAAAATGGCAATATATAGCCCTTTAATAAAGCTAAAAATAATATATATATATATATATATATATATATATCTAATTAAAGTCTTTAATATTGTGCAGTATCACAACATGCTCTATCTATCCGGGCTATGCAAATTAATACAGATAAACAATATTATACATAAATTTTGTTTAGCCTGGATCCTTATTTTACTTTTTATAGGCAGTAGTGTTTATTTATATTGTAAGTATATATATATATTGAAGTTTATATAGGCTTTCTTGTATTGTACACCCAAGATATATCCGACAATTTAGTAACTAATTCAACTTTATTCATTTCAAGCTATCGTGCCCTTCTTTCAACAAGACAATATGTTGGCTGGTTTAGCTCAGGGTCAGTATCTCTTTGTAATTTACTTTTGAAGGAAGATAGCTTATAAGATTAAAGCAGCTGTGGTAGACTTAAAAGATCTATACAAGTCGTAGGCTTGATATCCTTCCCAAAGATAAATAATTTTTAAGTTTTGTTTCCTACTTAAAATATTGTCTTTTTCCTATATTAGGTTCACTCAGAACGCCAATGAATATTTATATAAACACAAATGCATGTCTATAATAAATTAACTTGTTAAAATATATCATTTGGACTCCACTACTTGCAGCTTCTTTTTAATAGACCCAATTTGGGCCTGTACGGATCGTTTAAGAAACATTTGGCTCATGGCTGTTATGCTCTCAATAGAGGTAATAAGGTCTCCTTCGACCAAACAGTGAGCATATTTTGTTGTTAGGACTAGCAGCAGCTGCATGCTAGCTTTGTCTTTTGGATTCGCTTGTACTGTTAGACGTATTGATTGTATCAGATCACGGGCCAGAGTCGCATCGAGGGACAGAAGCGGCACAGTGGTCAACAGTGCACTAGCAATATTAAGAACTGGATCTGCCCAAGGCAAGGCCACAAGTGTTCCAGGTGATTGTGTTGTTGGATCAAGAATAGTTCTTAAGAGCATGATGCGAATCGATGGTACCAGTGAAGCTGTAATGAGTTTGTGGATTACTTCGGTCTGTGGTTGACCTAGTAGTAAAGAAAATATTGGTTATATATATATATATAAAGCAAATAACCTTACCAAGTGATGGCTGTTTAAGTAGAGGTAGGACAATAGCATCCAGGACCACCTTTCCCACACTTTGACCTAAATTAGACAATGGAGTTGCAATTAACCGGGACATGGATGTCTTTAACGAGGATATCTAATTAATAGATTTAATCAATATCCACGTTAACCAAATGCTTCTGGTTTTTTTTAAATATGTACAGTTGCATGAACAGTATATAATAATAAAAAGAAGGAATTTTACTTACCCGTAAATATACGGAGGATCTGATGAGAAATGTTGCACATGAATAAGAAATGTCTGGCGTATTCTGGACAGTTCCCAATAAATCTGCCAGTACATCTTCAGGCCAATCTCCAAAAGAGATGTGTTTACACACCACTTTTAACTAAGAAAATAGAATAATCAATGATATACCATACCGTTTATATACCGTACACACACAAGAATAAGATTTCAAGTTGGAATATGAAGATAAAGATAGAGAGAGAGAGAGAATTTCATGTTCTGTTGGCATATTTACTTCATCAAGATTTAATCCAACCAAAGAGGATAGGACACTAGATCTGTTAAATAGATGTGCAATTTGTGAATCTTGTACAGTGAGTTTTTCCAAGGAATCAAGCAAGTCACTCCAGCGGCTCAGAATGGCATCTTCATCAGGTCCTTCTTCGTGTGTAGCTATGTTTTTTTTAAATGGTTTTAAATATATATTACTTTAGCAAATGTCTCTCTTGTTTATTATTGTTGCTATTGCTATTACTACTTATATATATTTATTGAGTGCTTCACCTGTGTGGGTATTGTTTTGACTCATTGAAACATTCTGCTTAAACAGTCGTCGCCTTTTTCCTAACCGAGGCCGAATAGCTTCTATAGGGCCGTGGTGTAGCCACCCAAAATAGAGATAAGAGTGAAGGGTATTATCAATTATATACATGTATCTATCTACGTACGTACGTATGCATGTAAATACAAATTATTACTATTGTTGTTATTATTATAGAAATAAAGGATATTATTATGGGTTCAAGTAATGTATTTGAAGGATCTTTCACTGGAATGATTACTAGTTTGAATAACATCGATGAGATTCAGTAATCTGGAATCGACATGTTCATTTTCATTTTTCTTCTTCGTCTTCTTCTCTTCTTCTTATGTACCAGGTGCTTTATGAGACCTTCCCGGCTCTAATGCTTCTCTCATTCTTTGTGAGAACTCGAACCCATTCCCAGTCAAAAGTTGACTTAAAATCTTCGCCTTTGCATCAATGACATTTGACATGATCAACAAACTCTTGTGTGTTTGAACACCGATAGAACCTTTATATATTTTTAATTTTCTTTTTTTTTAAAAAAAAAAAAGAATAAGGGTGATGTATGTGTGTATATACAAGTTTGCACTCTAAATATACAATACACATACACTTCTTTACAGAAATAAAAGTTCAACGCAAAAAAGAAAAGAATTTTTTGATAATAATAATAATAATACTAATAATTTATTTCTATATATCTGGTAATGTCAAATCACCCTTTTCCCAATATGCTTCAAACTTTTGACGGACATCAATAATGCCTTTGGACAAAGTATATTTTTCAAACCATTCTGGATGGTCTTTGAGGCGATGTTGTATCCACCGCCAATAGTAGTAAGCCTTTGGATATGTATATTTTGGGGCTGCATCAGGATTTTCTAGTACAGATTTGGTGACCTCTCGGTAGTCGCGAAAGACAAGGTATGGTTCACTTTTGACTTTGAACAGAAAATCCTGGTCTTGGCGTTGGCAGCGAACCACTATGCCTTCTACTTCTCGACCATCCATTTTGCCTGTGAGTTGTACTTTGCTAGCCAGCTCCTTAACTTGAGCAATCGTGTCAAGGGTCGTAAAGCTGACCGGCCACAACCCAAACGTGGTTGCAATCTGGTGTACGAGTTGACTTGGCAAGGTGTGAAGTTGGGCTGTGTTGTAATTCGCGCCGTGCAAGTAAAGACCTCTTTTGTGAGGAGGGTATTCTAAGATGTGTTCCTCAAAATCATCATCACATAACTTGATAAAAGAAAAAAGAAAAACGTAATTGTTTTTTTTAAAAAATAAGTAAATTAACATACACAAACACATACGCACATATATATTTACCTCTGCAACTAGTGTGATTGAATTGGACCAAAGCCAAGAAGCAAGATCTTCTTCTGATGCCTGAGCAGATTGAAGATGCTTTTGCAACCATCGATATCCTACACCCCCATGAGACTGAGGGTTGTCCTTTGGTTCTGGAATCGAGTGTTTTGAGGTGACAATTACTGTTTGGGATGACAGGGCAGCAATAAAGATAATGCATCCATTTTCCTTGGTTGTAATCTCATATGGACCCTGTGTCTCTTTTTCTAATGCAGTCCACTATACAAACAGAATAAACACATTTTGTTATCAATATCTATAATCATAATTATAATAAAACCAGTAACAATTGATAATTAGGCAATTGAATGTTCAATAGCTTTTATTTTTTCTTTCAAGTAAATTAAAAAGCCAGAGTCCTTCTTGCTTACTTGAGTGTACTTTGTCTCGTTTACATTGAAAAACTTGTCATATCCTCGGGCAACGATGCAATGACGCTCATCCCGTTTCAGAGTAAACAGACCTCGGGCCATGATAGGAAAGCTTCCTTGATTGCGTTTGTACACACTTTCGCGTACTGTCCAACTTGTCCAGGTGTCGTTTTGTAAAGTGAATGGGCGATTTCGCAACTCTTTTGGTTTGGCAGCGAGATGTGCACACAATCGCTCAATCACGTCATGATCCTTTTCAAATTGTATAGTAGAACTTGAATCTGGAAGCTCGATTGTTGAATTTACCATTGAGATTCGGAGAGAAAAATAAATAATAATAATATCCAAGAAAAAAAAACAAGACAGAAAATACAGTGATGCTGAACAAAAAGGCACAGACAACCAAAGAAAAAAATATATGTATATATGCATTATGTGTGTGTGTGTGTGTGTGTGTGTGTGTACAAGTTCATGTTATAAAATTTATATATATGATTTCTCTCTCTTTCTCTCAATATTTTTTCTTTCTTGTTCTTCTTTCACATACACCCATGTATGTAAAGAGGTATATAAATGCGTGTGTGCCTGTATACACTTGATTACATTAAATAATTACACTAACAAAGGTTATAATATTGGTATTATGAAACATATGTGAAAAATAAAGAAGAAGAAAAACAATATGAATCACTTTCTTCGTCTTATTTTTATTATTATTATTATAATCATCAAAAGCATAATCATCACGCTATTTTCTTTTTTTTTTATCAGCAAGTTTATTCTTGGCTGTGGTGAGTAATATTTACTGTGCTTACCGGTGATATCCAGGAAACAAAAAGAGAGGTAGGAAGAATGAAAGGAAGAAAGGAAAAAGAGACAAAAGAAAGAGGATATCAACCATTAGAATGATGGAGGCAACGGATATTTATTATCAGCATCACGACTTTTTGGTGTCTGGTTTATCTGAATTCGTATTAGAGGCATCGGTGAATTTTACTGGAGTATTAATAAATCGACCAAAAGGTTGAGATGGCTTGATTGGTGAAATATTGTGATTATCATTATCATTATCGTTGTTGTTGTGGTTGTGGCTGTGGCTGTTATTAGTTGCGCTGACGAGGTGATCTCCACCCGGTAAGGAGGAAAATCCAAAGTATGTACCCTGAAGTATCGCTGTGTAGCATGGCGGTGCTGCTCCCCAGGAATCGTCTGTCTCAAGTGCCGTTGGAGCTGGAGTGTATACTTGGGGTACCTTACCAGAAGGCTGGTAATCTTTGAGCAGATTTGGATTATCAAATACAGAATTGGGTGCCACATGTGTGCTTCCCATCTGTTGTGTTAATCTCTCCTCTGGGGTAGAGAATGAGAATGATTGAAATTTTTTTGCAATCTCGTCTGAAGGATCCATAAGCTCTAAATATCTTTATATATATATATATATATATATGGGTGTGTGTTATTTGTGGGCGTATCTACAGATATGAATGAATATATATATAAGGGAGCGAGGGAGAGATAAATAAAGGATGGACAATGGAAACTGTAAATGCTTGACTGCATATCACGTGAACACAATTATATAACAGACCTACAAAGAAAAAGAAAAGAAAATGAGGGGGGAAAGTACCGATTAAGGTGTCGTCATCCCTGAAGGAGAAAAATATGAATTGATTTTGTAGTGATTTTTTCTATAAAAAAAAATTTAAAAAAAAATAGAAAGAATAAGGATAGAACTCTAATATCAATGTATATATATATATTTCTCTTTGATGTATAGGTGGTCACCTGAATTTAACATTCCCACACACACATACACATAAAGAATAAATATATAAAGGGGAAGAATGATAGAAATCTTCTTTGGGTAAACTGACACACTCTGCTGGATCGATTTTGTCAAGGCTCTAATCAGCATTGTGTCCTTTTCCTTTTTATTTATTCTTTATTCTTTTTGGCTACTGTAAATTTCTGAAAGGGTAATTTAGACAAGCGATGAAGCTTATTTTTGATTCTGGTTACTGGTAGAGTCCTTTGAGATCTATATCAAATACTTTAAGTATCAAATAGATTCTATACTCTTTGTAAATTGCATACTGTATAATGTATATTTTTTACCGTGTACCGTGTACTGTGTACTGTGTATGTATTATTTGGTGCATACTACAAAAGAAGAAGAAAAAACTTAACCCTGTCGCACACAACGATTAGGAGCGGAGTCTGCAAATTAAGATTGAAACAAGCTCAATGAATTGGCTGTACAGAATTCGATTATTTTTTGAAAAAGGTTATATACTTGGATATTAATTCCCAGATATATTATATATATATATATTCCTTTAATAAACCAAAAAAAAAAGGGTCCCTATTTCGCTCACTATAACATACACTTCTTTGTTGTCCTTTATTATTGTTTTTAGTAGATCAACAATCAAAGACTAGTAATCAAAAGCTAAAGTAAGGATAAGTTTAATTGGCTTCTGTTTTTGTTTCTTTTGGAAGTTTATACTATTTTTTCTCTCTTTATAATAAATCAGTAATTAATTGAGTTTCTGGTTACAAGCATTTGTCGAAACTTTAATCATTCAATTCTATTATTCTATTATTCTATATTTCTTTTTGATACATAACTCAGTGTGAGAATCCAAACCACAGATACAAACGTATATATCAATAAGGCACATAACAAGAAAAGAAAGAAAGACAAAGATAATGGCTTTTTAATTAATCATTGGAAACACAATGATACTTTGTAAGAGGATCTTGGTAGTTTGATACAGCAAAGTTCCAATTGAAGGTATTCCATACACATACAGATATAATGAGCGTTCTTGGAAAGAAGGTTAATGATTAACTGGAAGTATCAAATATTCTATCCAATGATTTTGTGCTGATTTATAGAGATAACATTTTCCATCAACCAGAATCCAAACCTTACAGACCGCACCATTTATTCGCTATAATAATGTAACCATTTTTTGAAAGGGGAATTTAAACTATTTTCATTCTTATTCTTCATAATTCAAAAACAAAGATGAAAAGGCACTAGCATCAATAGCTTACCTGATCATCACAATCACAATCATTATTATTATAATAATAATAATAATAACAAATCTTGATGGCCGCAGTGACACCTTTGGCGTTTGTTCAAAATCCAAATATTTTACATAGTTCCTCTGTTCAAAGGAAATGCACCATGGTTTACTCGTGCAACAAAAAAGCTTTTTTTTTATTTCCTTTTTTTTCCCCTCTCTCTCTTTTTTTTTCTTTCTTTCTTTCTGTCTCCCTCTTTTTATTTATTTATTTATTTATTTATTTATTTTTCTCTGCTGTTATTTCTCGCTTGTATCTCACGCTCGTTGTGGCTCTTTTTTTCCCTGCTTTTCTTACCTTATTTTGTTTATTCTTCTTGGGTCATCTTTCGATTTTAACTTCATCTTGACTAGTGCGTTCATCGACACAATCTCACCAACAATCACAACTCTTGTTTCAATCATCTGTTTCAATAATATTTCTAAAACAAGAAGCGAGAAAGAAAGAACAACGAAACACTCAGGCTACCTACACCTTCACCTTCACCTACACCTTATACATACACTAAAAAGGGCATCCTGAAAAGAAACTTTTTTATAAAAATTCAAAAAAGAAAATAACAGAAGAAGAAAAGAAAACAAAAACACAAAAGGTGGTCATTCTACATGAAGACACCCTGGACTGTCCAACTCTCGATTCCTTCCCTCTTGACTTTCCATTCGTTCGCCATCCAAACCTGACTTGTATCATTACTGCTTTTCATCCTCCCATTGACCTTTTTATACATATATACATACGCACACACACAAAACACAAAACACACTTAGATATATAGATACATATATATATATATATATATTTATATTTATAGATACCTCTTTTTTTCTATATTCCTTATCTTTACATTTCTTTAAGCTTGTTCGAACAAGACAAGTCAAAACAAAAATCAAACAACCAAAAAGTACCTGTTTTTATTATTATACATAGTACAATTTCTGTACATTTTTCATCCACATAAACTCCCAAAGAGACATTATTGTGAGTAGCATTGCATTGTCTTTTCTTTAAATATATATACATATTATGAATGCTTATTTGTCCATTATAGTACAATGTCTTTGATTGCCACTGATCTCTGTACCGAATCATGGATGCAGAAAGGGGCAAGTCCGTCGGCTGAACGCAGTACCTCGTTCCAACCCTCAAAACACATGTCAGAGCGATTGCATCGACGTACCAGCGCTCTACAGACAACAGATGCAGGTGGTTATGCGAGATCCACAGCCAGCAGTCGGTCTCGGATCGAAGGCATGAGCCAGACAGGAATCTACGAAGCATTCGAAGGTGCAGACAAAGTCCTTTCGCCTCCACCTTCTCACAATCATCCTCCCGCTTCAGTTCCTCTTTCTTCTGCTGCCCCTTCCACTCTTCAGACAGCCACAAATCCAAAACGAATTCCTCCATCAAATCGCAAAATGTCTACTGTCGATCCTCCGATGAACAGGCGCAAGAGTGTAGCCGCTCCTCTCTCCTCAGTCAACCGGGCAGATAGACGACGATCCCGCGCGTGGATGGAAGATCCATTGTCGGAAGCCAAGACGACGAACACGAACACGAATACGAACACGAATACGAATACGAACAATGTTAATGTTAATAACAATAACAATAAAAACACTAATACGAATACGAATACGAATACGAATTCTAATGTTAATTTTAATGTTAATATTAATACTAATATTAACAACACTGTAAATACTGCTGTAAACAAAAGAGCAAGTCTGGTCATGTCGGGGACTGAGTTGCAGCCAACTCCACGTGCACGGGTGGCACTAAAGAAGCTTTCGGTTGAGACTGTCCCGAATCCAGCCAGACCCACTCACCGTCGCCATCAATCTCTGGGTACATCCCTCCGAGACAAGACTTCTGCAGAATCTGTACGGCCAGATATAAATAGAGCCCGCTCCATGCGAGAAACGAATACAACCACAGAAACCTCTCGTCCCAGGTCTCGATCATTAAAATCACCGCCGCCGCCACCGCCTCATGACGACTCTGCCAACAATCCTCCTCCAAGTGTACCTACACTCCGTACAAACGAGCAACTCAAGCAACAGCAACTACAACAGCAGCAGCAACAATCGTTATTACGACAACAAAGGCGCCGTTCTCACCACACCTCCTTAGAGCCACAACCACGACCACAACCTCCTCCTCCTCCTCCTCATTCATCTGTACCTGCATCACAACCTCATCAACCCACAGCCGCCCAAACTGCGGCGGCACAAACCGCACAGTCTACAATTCGACGACAAGCAAGTGTGGGCAATAATAAGCCATCACTTACCAGACGCGGGACCCTGCCACACGCAGACGACCGGCGATCCGACATTGATCCGGCTCAGCGTGGTACACGCCACGGGCTTTCCGACTACCATGGCTACAACCGTGCTCATGGTCGTCGTCGATCTGTTGCCTACTCACCTCCCCCAAATGAACCTCAACCCACCGATAATACCCCTCCCGTGCCTCCCATGCCTCGCCACCACTCTCTCAAGCAATCCAGCCGGGCTAGTTCAACAACTTCAAGCAGAGGTGGAAATGACGATTCTCAAACCATACCAACAACCCCAACAACTGCTACTGCTACTACTACTGCTACTGCGGCTGCGACTGCAACTGCAACTTCAGCAGCAACCATGGCTCGAAAAGCAGCGCTTTTGAAAACCAATAATAACAATACCAACCCTCTGATGATGACTAACAATCGGAGACTGAGCAGAGCGTCAATTGCGGATACAGATAGCACGCGAAGCAGTCGGGCAAGCAGTAGTGATGAAAGTATGCGTGCCCGGGGCCGAGTAAAAAAGACATCACTCGTTCTGTCGTCAGACGTCCAGCCGGTGTCAATCAACCCTGCGACTCGCGCACGTCGCATGTCTCGAACAGAAAGTCTAAATGAGGGCGTACCGACCACACCTTCGAGAGAGGCTGCGCTTCTTTGGCGTAAACAGAGTCTGGCTTCTCAAAACTCTCTTGGCTCGACTAGACGTACACCCAAAGGATCCCCGGTCAAAGAATCTTTTACCAAATCATCTCCAGCCAAAGAACCCGTTGCGCCACAAACAGCGGCAGCGGCAGCGGCAGCGATTACCAATCGGAAGCGTGGCAAGGTACACAGACATAGACACGCACATACTGACACAGAAACAAACACATTAATACAATATAGTATATTTGTATATGTATATATGTCTGTTTATGTGTATGTGTGTATGTGTGCGTGTGCGTATTAATAAGAGTAATGTTAACATTTCTTCAAATTTATTCTTTGTATATGTGTGTGTGTGTATATTTATATATGTTTAGACTCTACCTGGCAGTCTTGTTGCTCCTCCACCAGTTTTACCTGCTGCATTGCCACCTATCAAAGTTGAGCCGATAAAAATCGTTTTGACCTCAAATAGAAAACCAAATCTACCCCCCAAATCGCCCGGGCTACAGCCTGTCACTCGTCGAATGTCGCTCAAGGCACGCCACTCGATTTCCCAGCCAAACTTAAGGACGGCGACAGACGGTAAATCAACTTGTGACCATGGTCGTACTACGCCTGTGACAGCCGGAGAAACAAGTGGAGAAGATGATTCAAGTAGTAGTAATAATAACACTAGCAGCAGCAGTAGTAACAACAACAACAACAACAACAAAAACAACATTCGAAACCGAAACAGTAACCGAAACAGCTACAGAAATAGCAACAGTCATATCAGCAGCAACAACAACAACAACAATAACAATAACAATAACAATAATATTGTTGTTAGTAGTCATAATAGCAGTAGTAATAGTAAGCCACTGCTTGCACGAGGATCCATGCGTGAACAACGTAGAATGTCCCTAAAGACCCCACGCGTCACACCGTCCTCACCTTCTCGCTCGACGACTTCGCCTAATAAACTCAAAAGTAAAAATGCTGGTCTGTCAACTCACACTGGTGACAATAGACTTATACCGATCCGCAAACAGTCATTGTCAGCAGCTAGTAAATACAACTTTGATAGTTCTTTGGTAGACGCTCCCACGCATCAGATTACGCGAAAGATGAGTGTTCTGGGAACCAAGCAGCAACAACAGCAGCAACAACAGCAACATCACCATCATCAATTACAAGCAGTTGTGGGACAAGGTCAACCAACCCCAGCGGTTGTACAAGGCCCTGCCACGCGCGCATTGTCGGCCTACATGACCAACACTCGTAAGAGTTCATTAGCCCCACCTCCCGATCTGGACCTTTCGAGTGAACCAAAGGCAATCAACATGCAGCAAAAGCTCAGCGCGATGGTGAAAGAACACTCTTTCGAACACGATCTTGCCGCTCTAGAGACTGCACTGGTTGCTTCTCGGACAAACCCGGGTGCATTGCGCCAGGCGTGTGGGGGGATCATCGACTTGCCACAATCCCCACAGTCCCCATCGCATTTCTTGCAGTTGCTTCCCGAGCGTCCCATGAGTGCACCCGAGCACGTGCATCAGCCAAACAATGGCGCGCGTGCAGCCAAGACTCCCGAGACGATCCTGAAATACTACAGCCATCGACTATCGGTGTATGAGCGTCAGGAGATCAAACGGTGTGACGAGGTGTATTTTATTGGCCAGCACTCCAAAAAGCATCCTGCGACACCAGAGTTGCCGAATATGAATTACGGTTTTGATGATGATGCGGGAGACTATAACATTGTGGAGCAAGATCATCTTGGTTACCGCTATGAGATCCTGGAGATCCTTGGCCAGGGATCTTTCGGCCGTGTCGTCAAGTGTCTGGATCACAAGACAGGGACAACCCAAGCGGTCAAGATTATCAGAAATCTCAAGAGGTTTCACGAACAAGCTCGAACTGAAGTCAAAATTCTTCAACAATTGGTTGATTGGGTAAATATTAATGATAGCAACAACAGAATTATTAAAGCCAGGGATAGTCATGGCAATGGATTGATATGTATAATGGAGATCTTAATTATAAATCCTATCATTCTTATTCTTATTGTCTTGGTTTAATTCAATATAGGATCCTGAAGACCTTCATCACAATGTTCGAATGACAGACCATTTCTATTTCCGGAATCATTTGTGTATCTCTTGTGAATGTCTTAGCATTAACCTGTATGAGTTTGTCAAGAACAATGGTTACAAGGGTCTTAGTCTTAGTCTTATTCGAAGGTAAGAAAGATCGATTTAATTTGTCTTGCTATTTTTTCGGGAGAGTAACGGAGGGGGGGATGAAACCTTTTTTTTTTTTTTGGTCATTCTGTCTGTGTGTAAATGGATTATTGATTTGATCTATTATTCTGTAGATTTACACTGCAATTATTGCAATCACTTTCTTTAATGTACAAGCACGGAGTTGTTCACTGTGATCTCAAACCAGAGGTAAGTATTATATATAAAATAAAATAAAATAAAATAAAATAAAATAAAATAAAATAAAAAATTATTGTATTTTATAGAATATTCTTCTTAAGCACCCTAGCAAGAGTAATATCAAGGTTATTGATTTTGGATCTAGCTGTATGCATACAGAACAAGGTAATATATTAATTAATTAATTAATATTAATATTAATATTAATTCTATAATACAATATATTATTTTATATTTACATTATCAATCTTTACAGTATACAGTTATATTCAGAGTCGATTCTACCGTTCTCCTGAAATCATTCTTGGTAAGATATAAAATCAAATGGTGCTTATGTACAAGTATATTACTATTCTGGTTATTTAAAGCACTCGACCAAAAAGAAATGATAATAATTATTAATTAATGAATTGATTGATTGATTGATTTTCTTTTAGGTATGACTTACAACATGTCGATTGATATGTGGAGTCTTGGGTGTATTTTGGCCGAGCTCTGTACAGGTAAAGCCTATTTCTATATATATATATTTATATATATATTGATAATCGTATCTCTCTCCCTCTGGTTGTTTGTCTTATTTTGATAGGTCTACCGATATTTCCTGGTGAGAATGAACAAGAACAATTGGCATACATTATGGAAGTAATGGGTGTACCTGAGCGATACCTTATTGAAAAGAGTAGCCGTAAAGACTTTTTCTTTGGTGGGTTGAAGATTTCTGATCTAATTATAATACCATATATGTATATGTATATGTATAGATGTGGATAATAACTAAATGAAATGCATGACTATTATTACTATTACTATTGTTTGGGTATCGATAGATATCGATGGAAATCCTTTCATTCGACCAAATTCAAAGGGAAAGAAGAGAAGACCTAATACAAAGACATTATCGCATGCACTGAGATGTCATGATGTGGTCTTTTTGGATTTTATTGAACGGTGTTTACAATGGGACCCTGAACGTCGTATGAAACCCGATGAGGCACTGCAACACGAATGGGTTACTCAGAGTACCAAACATCGAACCTCTTCAGGCCATGCATCCCCGATGCCCAATATATACAGGTAAAAAAAAAAAAAAAAAAAAAAAAAACTCATTTGGATCGAGATTTCATCTGCTATTTTGTTTCTCTCTTTGTATTATTTTTGGAGTACAAGGTATTGACTTTCTTTTTTTTTTGTTGTTGTTGCTTTAGTCATCGCATGGGTCCCTCTACAGAGGACTACTCGGGTGCACATCATTCTTCTTTTTATAACTAAAGAAGCAGAAGAAGAACGAGGGAATCTAAGAATCCAAATATCCACTTACTTTACTCACACATACACCCATCCTTACCTCTACACATCTTCATTATTTCTTTTTCTATTTCTATTTTATTTTATTTTATTTTTTTACTTTACTTTACTTTGCTTTGCTTTGGCTTCTTGCTTTGCTTTTTTATCTTTCTGTTCCTAATTATCGACCCTGTACAAATATGTTAAACTTGTAAATTTGAATTGTACCTCTTTTTTCTTATTCACCTTATTCTTCTTAATCTATTCTATTCTATTCTATTAAAACTAAAACTAAAACTAAAACAAAACAAAAAAAAGCAACTCTAATAATGAGGTTTTTTTCTCTCTCTCTTTTAAAAATATACTATATATTTATTTATATACAATCATTACAGAAAAATAAAGGGTTTTTAATTTGATGTCGTGCCAAAAAAAAAAGAGAATTGTGTTCAATAATGTTTTGTCGCTTATTTCTTCTTCTTCGTATATGGCTTTATGATACAGTCAGCGCTTGATTTAGGCATCTAATTGAGAAAAGCAAACAAGAAATCATATCGCTTCACTATCCCTATCCCTATCCCTATCACTAAATTTAGAAGAAATACAAGTCCAATGAAACTTTGATATTTAGGTCAAGAAATTATCTAGCTAATAATCAGTGGTTGTATACTTGATAATGGGGAGATATTGTGAGCCAACGCATATGTATATATATATACTCATGGTCTAAAAAAAACAAAAAACACCTTGTTCAAGTGGCTCGGGATGACTCCCATTTGATATATGTTCTAGGCCAAGAGCCTCTCTAAAGAATATAAAAGCATTCATGTGTAGAAAGACCAGTATCCACAACATTTGTAAATTGAAGGCTATACTGCAACAAATTTTGGCAGACAGTATGAAAAATTGATTCTAGGCTTGTAATTGAGGTCAAGAGAAACTGCACAAAACATCAAAGCACGTTCTTTTGTTTCTTTTTTTTTTCTTTCGCCTTGCTGTATATGAAAGGGTCGATTTCATAAAGAAAGACACAATTTTGTTATAAATCAATCATATCAATCAAGTCTTCACTTTCTTTTTTTTTCTCTCTCTCTCTATTTGCTATTCATTTTCACAGGTTGAAAACTGTGTGCTTCTTAATGGATAGGTGGATGTTGGCTGTCATAAAGTCATATATAGTACTACCTGAAACGCCCAGATCTACAAAGATCTACAATAAATACCCAACTATTTCTGTCAGGACAACAAGAGGATCTTTGCTTTTATAGATAGTAATATTATTTTTCTCTCTTATCATCATCGTCATCATCATCAGAAGAAATCATACAACTTCATCTTTGCTGCTATATTACATATCAAAAAGCTTTACTATTTCATTCCTCTACTGCTGGGTGCAATATACATAATCAATTCTTTTAAAAGGTCTGTTCTTTTGTAATTGCGTACAAGACGTATTTGGTTTGAATATCATATCAGCTTCTGTTTTTTCTTTTCTTTGGTCAGTAGTAGCAATAACACGATCCATTGGTTTAACAATATTCTCGATAACAGCATGTTACTGCTCTACTCTGCTCTGCTCTGCCTTGCTCTGTCCTGACAATTTTCATAATAAAAACAGAAATTAAAATTAAAATCGCATATTCATTTTCACTATCCGTAGAATAAATAGTAGCCTTGAACGAAGAAAAAGAAGTGGATAAATAAACACCATCATTTCATATATATATATATATATGTGTGTGTACATAAAAAGGTCTATGGAATATGAATAAAATAGAAATTTATTCTTTGAATCAAGTGACATCACTCATGAACACAAAGATGGCCTGTATCACATCAAATTCAAAGCCCTTTACTTTATTTCCCTGGAATGACTTGTACGTATAACTTTACAGAACACTGTATTGGTTAACGTGTGTGTGTGCGTGTGTGTGTGTATTTGAGCTTGTGTGAGCTTGTGCGTGTTTTGTGCGTCTGTTTTGTGCGCGTAATTTTTTATATTAGCGGACATTATTAAGAAAGTGGAAGGGAAAAAAAAAAAAGAAATAAGATGGGGGTGGAGAAGGAGAAGGAGAAAGAGGAGGAAGAGAGGGGGTGATGATTTTGTGGCCTCTTTGGGACAAATGGAACAGTTGGCCGACCTGCCCGATACAAAAAAAAAAAAAAAAAAAAAAAAAAGAAAGAAAGTAACCATACACAGATTCCCGTTATCGTAACACCCATACTTTTTTTTTTGTGCGTATATTAATTTTAATTTGTTCGGAACTGTAACTGAATGTCGGACATTAATTATGCTGAACTGACATTGATCTTACAGTAAAACACACTATAAAAGTCGCATTTTTAAGAGTTCCTGACCATAACTTAACCTGGCAATGTTGGTCCATCCCATCCTGTAGAATAATCATTTCCAATGCTTATCCAGTCTCATCCTTTGTCAAAAAAAAAATATTGCACATATCCTATAGCCACTTGTCTACTGAATGTAAAGTAAAAAGATAGTTTAGTTTCTCATTGTAATAATCAAATTTCGAGACTTTATCCCAAAAATGCGATTTATAAATGTGCTTTACTGTACTTTAATGGCTTTATTTTTGAGCCCATAAATATCGGCGCTAATATATGTACTTAAATTAATGTTAATTTCCGCATATCTATAAATTAATCGCAGATATTAATTATACGTCCGATTATTAAAATTAATCGGCGTTATAAAATGATAATATATACACTACTTGTAAAAAAAAAAAAAAAAAAAGAAAAAGGATACCCAAACTTTTGTACAGTGAAATATTTATATAAAGATATAATAGAAAAAAGACAAGAATTAGAGTTCATATCCCTATTTATAATCTACCCCCTCTTCTCTCTCCCCAATCTTCATTTACACGTTGTACACATGTACAAAGCAAAGCAAAGCGAAATAAAATAAAATAAAATAATTTATTTTAATGTGTATATATATATAATATATATATATGGTTTTTTGATTACTGTCACCTTTGAAGAAAGGACAATTTACAGGTATAGATATGATTGCTGTAACATATACACAGAGTATAGCTTGTGACTAGTTTGAAATACTCATTTATTGTTGTTGTTGTTGTTCTTCTTCTTCTTTTATATTTTTATGTGTTTATTTATCTTGGTTGTTGTTGACCAATAAAGAAGCCAAAAAACAAAAAACAAATGGATCTATTCCACGTTTAAAATCTCAAGCTTTTATTTTTAAATATTTTGTTTTGAAAAATGAGATAAATAGATAAATAAATAAATAAATAAATAAAAATAACAATAAAGAAACAATTGTAGCTCGTAAATCCGTAAAAAAAAAAAAAAATCTTAGTGTCCAATGACTTATTTTGGCTTTAATGATCATAATAATAATAATAATGATGATGATGATGATTATAGCTATTTGACATTAATTTTGTATTGGCTTAGTACCTTGCTATTTTCATTATAGCTCTTTATCGTTGTATTAAATATATATATATATATATAGTTGTTACTAAGTAAATTTCGTAGGGTATTGTGGTTGAATAGAACCGATGGTGATCACATGGTACTCACGAATGTAAGCAATCAACGTGAGCAAGTCTCAAGGCAAGCTCATTATTTCAAGGCGGCTAAAATTGGTAACAGCAGTAATAGCAGAAGTACTAACACTTGAAAGACTGACCAAATTTAACAAATAATGAATAAACAGTTTTATTTGATTATTTGCTGGACTTATGTTTCTACCTGCTTTTGTATACACAGTAATTCTGTATACCATTTTGACAATAGAACCTCTTTTTTTTTTTTTTGCTCAAGCCATTGTAGAATTGATGAAGTCTATTCATTGATTGATTTTATGTAGCATAAAACTAATTAAATATACAAATGTATAATAGAATTCAATTCAATTCAATTCAATTCAATTCAATTCTATTCTATTCAATTCAATTGAAAATGTTGAATTTTTATTTATTCATTTATTTATTTATTTCAAAATAGCGCCAACCATTATTCCAAATACAGCACTGTAGAATAATTTATACAATACAGTATATAATATAATAAAATAAAATAAAAGAGGACCTTTTTTTTTGTGCGCCACCCGGGACCGGACCCCCTTTGACCCCGCAGCTGTTACCTTGCTTTTTTTTTTTTTTCTTCTTCTTTTGTGTCGCTTGATCTCTTTCTCTCTTTCTCTCTTTCTCTCGCTATTTCTTATTCTTATTCTTCTTCATCTTCTTCTTCCCTTCTTCTTCTTCTACTGAATGTCGGCTGTCCTAGCGACAGTGCTCTTTATCTGATAAGAAAATCTTTGTACACATCTATACGCAAGCAACCATAAAAGAAAGAAAGAAAGAAAGAATATATACATAAATTCGACGACACCAAAGCACCTATCACCTACCACCTACACACACACACACATATATATATATATATATATATATATACGCACATACGCACATACGCACATACATAAATACATACATACATACATACATATATACATATATACATATATACATATATACATATATAAATACATATATACATACATACATAAATACACACATACATATATATCTATATATATATCTATATATATATATATATATATATATTCTTCCTCTCGAAGCTTTGTATTATCTATCTTTGGTTCAAAGACATACACAAAAAAAAAGCAATCAAGAATAACTAAGGATAAAGTATATAGCTCTACATATACGAAATGCCTGCAAGTCCATCTCTTAACCGAAAACCAACAAGTCCTAGCCAGAGCCGGCATATGCTTGTCGAAAGATGCTCGACGATCCGGGCCTGTGAGCCCTGTAAGCGAAGAAGACGACTCTGTAACGGACAGCGACCGTGTGCGCACTGCACAGACGCGAATTTAGAATGTGTGTACAGTGTGGTCTCGGATCATCCTCGCAGTGTGTTCACCACCAGTAATGCCCGCCGGCTCAGTTCAGGATCGGCGTGCGAGACTTGTAGGCGTCGAAAGACAAAGTGCGATGGCAGTAACCCCTGCGCGTTCTGTGCAGCCAACGGGCTCGAATGTGTCAATAACTCGGAGCGCCGCAAACGTGCCATGGCCACTCCACCGGGAGACAACGAGGCTATTGACCGGATCGAGGACCGCCTTCGCCGCATCGAAAAACTCATGACCGCATTCACACCTTCACCCCTCTCCCAAAGCACGTCCTTCACTACAAACAGCAATGGAAACAGTACCGCCAGCACCGGTAAAGATCGGGCTGAAACACAGGCTTCAGGTACCCTACAGTACCGCAAACTCTCTTCACCACATCCACCATCTAGACCTATGGCAGTCCGTCAACACCGTCATTCGGTCCAAGGTATCAGTGTAGCCAAGGAACAGGCTGAGCTTCGTACAGCATATGCTGCCAGACGTGGGTCCGGTAAGTCTTTCTTTTTTTTTAAAATTTTTTTTTGATTATTTTATTATTATTTTTAAATAAAAATTGTATATAAATCTATATCTATACCTACATATTTATGTGTGTGTGTGTGTAAGAGAGAGAGAGAGAGTAAATTAATAGAGGGAGAAAGAGAGAATTTGGTTATTGTGTTGAGTAACAAAAGAAGAAGAGGAAGAAGAGGAAGGAGATTTAAGCTTTATTATTACTATTATTACAATTATTACTATCATCCCATTTCACTTTTCATTTCCTATATAATTTTTCTATATCATTTCTATTTAATATTGAATTATGAATATTGTCTTAATGGTGTCAAATATTGCGTCTTTATATATATATATATATATAATTACATTAAAAAGGCATGGTATCCAATGAGGGTGGAGTCTCTGGTTATACATCAGCAAAATCTCCTGTATTAGCCATGCCATTTTCGCGCCCACCTGTTGATCGGTATCGGTCCCTTTCTCCGCCCGTCATCCTCGGAAATTCTTCTGTAATATCAGCATCAGCATCAGCATCAGCATCAGCATCAGTAGCAGCAGCAGCAATAGCAGCAATAGCTTCATCTCCACCTCCGCCTCCGCCACTATCACCCACACTTATGATGCGCCAGAACTCGGCTCTGACCAGTACACATCCCTTGACATCATCCATGCTCAACCTCACTCTCTCTCCTTCCTCATCCACATCTTCCTCGTCATCAATGATGCCTTCCTCTATGGCCAATAACACACCCCAGTCATCCTTATCTACGCCACTCAATCAACAAGATATCCAACAACAACAACAACAGCAACAACAGCAACAACAGCAACAACAACGACAACAGCAACAACAACGACAACAGCTCCAGTTACAGCTCCAGTTACAGCTGCAGGAAGGCGAAGGAGATGAATACCAAAACCAACAGCAAATATCTCCCAGTCCACCCTCCTCTTCTCGCAGTACTTCTTCCACTCGTTGTGACCTTGAATGGAAATCATCTCCTATGCCAAGTTTAATGGGTAATGCTTTGTTTGTTTGTTTATATGTTTGTTTGTTTGGAGAATGTGTTTCATATTTACAAAAATACATTTCTTTTACTCATATGCATATCTATATATCCTTTTTAGAACAACTCTCGAAACGTACTTTCCCAGCTACTGCAATGGAATACCCTCTTACCCACTATCCAATCTATCCTCTCACTCCACCACACAGCCAGCCTCGTACCTTTCCTCATTCTCCAGACATGACACAATAAGAACCTCTTGAGTATATTTCAATTTTCAATCTTTTCTACATCATACTCCTCTTCCACACTTCTTTCCTCTCTTCCTTTCCTTTGTTCTTTACTTCTTTGCTTCTTTCCTTTGCGCCTGTGTGTAATTTATGTGACATTTTTTTTGTCTATTCCAAAAAAAAAAACAAAAAAAAAAACCTTAATCAACCAACCAACCAACCAATTAACAAATTAGCCAACAAACCCCAACACGCACACACACACACACATACTCAAACTACCTGTTTGATTCTTTTATTTTATTTTATTTTATTTTATTTTTCTATATACTTCTTTAAACCCTTTTCACTCTTCCCTCACCTTACGTAGCCTTAATATCCTGTTTTTATATTTTTTATATTTATATATATATTATATATACTATTACTTTCTGCTTATTTTCTGCTTATTATTACTATTACTATTACTATTATTACTATTATCTGTTTTTTTTTTATTTTTTTATTTTATATTTTTTCCCTTTTACTTTATACATATACACAAACATATATATATATATATATATACCTTACTTATCTAAGAAATTTCAATCTTTTTTTTTTTTTCACCAAATATATTTATAATCTGTTTTTTTATATATACACGACGTTTATATACTTCTATCTATACTTCTATACTTCTTTAACCTTATATACATTACTATTACAATGCACTACTACTACTAATATTATTATATAAGACGACAAAAAAAAAGGGGGAGAGGGAACTTTAGAAATGTAAATTATATTATATATACTTGAAAATCAAAATCATAAAAATTGCTTGTATATCATAGTTTTTGATCTTGATTTTGATTTTGATTTTGATCTTAATCTTGATCTTGATCTTTAACTCTCTTTTCTTTCTTTCTTTATTTATTTATTTATTTATTTTCTATTCTTTAAAATGAAAGAAAAAACTACAGATCCTGTATAAATCCTGTACATAATACATAGTACATAGTACATACATGTACATGTACATGTACATATATGTTTTGATTGCTACACAAATGAGCCGAAGCATGGGGCATACGTCTTCTCTATTTTTTTTGTACTCTGTTTTATTTTATTTATTTTTTTTATATTTTTGGTGCACACTGCAAATGATTGCTTATCATAGAGATTACGATCGATTGTTTATATGAGAACGAATATAATATAATATTAATATCAGGATTTTACAATCGCAGCCACAGCTCCAGTTACAGCGTTACCAAAGCAAAAAGTAAAACTCCAAGTGTTACAATAGACACATGTGTGTATGTGTGTACAAACACGCACACGCACACGCACATACACACTGAATGAAACCATTCAGGTCAATAATATATTTAATAGGTAATCTTTCAATTGAATTTTTGCAATATACATCTTTGTCTTGTTGTTTGTAGGTCTTCAAATGTCTTTTTTTTTTTTTTTTTTTTTTTTCTTGGTTTTGATATTCAAAACCAAAAAAGAAAGAAATGGGACTCTTTGTCTATCATGGTCTTGTATTCTCAACAAGTTGAATAGCCTTTCTTGGTTAATGACCGTGCTCACTTTGATTCTGTATATATAAAAGCCGTATCTTAAAATAAATTATTATTTCTTTTCTTTTTTTTTTTAAAAAAAAAGTAGCCGAAATGATCGGGTCTGTACATAAAAAGACTCTCTTGTACTCGTCTTGATGTTGCCGAGTTTCTTTTTTTTTTTAAAAAAAAAAAAAGAAAAAATAATTATCTAAAGTGAGTTTGTGGGTTGGTTGGTTGGTTGGTTGTGATGGTGATGGCGGTGATGATGATGATGGTAATTATTGTTGGTGGGTCCCATGGTTCTTTTTTTCTTCTTTGTTTCTGTGTGTGTGTTTTTCTCTCTTGTTTGCAAAAAAAGAAGAAGGTTTATATATATTCTTGTGCGTGTGTAATAAGCTACTTGTTTGGTGTCTAAAATAAGAACCTTTTATATATATACATTTTTTATAATATTATATTTGTATATGTATATACCACAAGAATCGGAATGCTTGCCGTCTGTGTTACTTTGAGGTCTTTGACAGAAATGTGGGAGGCAAAAAGGCAGGCACACAACACACATAGAGAGGGAGAAATTGAGGGTGTGAATTTGGTTTTTTTTTTTTTTTTTTTTTTTATTTCGTATTTTCTTTGGACCTAAAAAAAAATAAAATAAAAATATCATTATTGATAAGAAAGAGCCTGTTACACGGCCATTTTTTTATTTTATTTTTATAAAACTAGCAATATTATTGGCTTACAAATCTCAAATTTTAAAGTCGTGTATATATATTATACTTTTTCATTTACAACTCCACTTTTTTTTTGGGTGCACAAAAACTGGTTGGAAAATGAACCCAAAAAAAGTAATACATGAATAATAATAATAAAAATAAAAAATTGTTACCTATAGATATCTATATTATATATATATAGTATAGAAAAAGAGTGTCTTGGTACGTTCAAAATGTAGCAAACCTTGAAAGAGATAAAGACTATATAAATATATATATATTTTCTTTTGGTACCAAAGAAGAAAAGAGAAGAAGAAGAAAAATAAAGACATATTATTGGATAAGAACATTAGTTAGAGTAATAAAAGCCGAGTGTCCAATGTTAAATCAGCAAACAAAAACAAAAACAAAAAAGGCAGGCACACACACACATATATACATTATACACTAGATTGCCAAGATTTCTATTTCTATTTCTATATATTTGATCCACAACAACAGCATAGCAACAAAAAAAAAGGGTATAACTGGTTACTATAGTAAAGAGGTAATTATTAAGTATCTCTATTATGCATATATATATATATATACAATAGTATTAGAAGAATCTTTAGCTTGGGTATTGGACGTAAATAACTAAAGAAGTAAATTCATAGGTAAAATAAAATAATAAAAATAAAAATAAACACAAAACGACGTTTACTTCTTTTTAGCTTGGTGAGGTTGCACCAACTGATTCATTGGTAATCCAATCCCAGGAAAAATAATGAGTATAGTAGTCATAATACACAAGACACAGAGCAGTAAATCATATTAGATCTTGTAATTACTGCTCATTTATTTATTTATTTATTTATTACTTTCTTTACTTTATGAAAGTTGATCAAATATCAGAAAGTATACCAAGCTACAGACAAACGGTTTTGTGGTATTTTAGTATACATTTTAGGCTTCTTCTAATTAAAGAAAAATTAAACACATCTTCCAAGTCTTTTTTCTTTCTTTCTTTCTACTGTCGATAAGAGTTTAAATAATCAATATATATATAAATATATGAAAGCTCTCGTATCCAATGAACCAAACCTCCAGAGTAACATACCAAAAACAGAACGCGGATCGAGATTTCCTATTCCTCCGCCCCGAATCTTCGGCTATATAAACTCCTTGCAATAGAGTTGATAAGAAAAATAAAATCCAATAGTCTTTTTATTATTATTATTATTATTGTTAGTTCTATCACTAGTTCTATTACAGTGGCTACATACAGAAGAAATAGACATTTATATATATATATATATATACATATTTGTGTAGAAACAAGTGTATCAAGATACAACCTGTTATGAGCAAATGGAACGGTGAAATATAATGAATCATCTAATCTAATTTAACTGTCTCAAAAGTATACTCATGCAGTCTCACCAAGAAGTGCTATGTTTAAATAGCTTTTGATACATTAATCTTCTTACGTATATTAAATATTGATAGACATATATACTTTTTTGACTTGTTTATTCATATGCTAGATTTTATACTTGATACTCGATAGTTTTTTTTTTTTTTTTTTTTTTGCTATTGCCATCTTTTACTATTATTCTTATTAAGCCTTGTGAGATGTATCCTATGAAATATTTGGTATTAATTGATAGTTTCTCTGATTAAGTCTAATAGTAAACTACTATATAATATATATAAAAGGGGTATTTAAGACACTTACAAGATTTACATATAACTTTGTTCGCATAACTGTGGCATTTTATTTCGACGTTTTCCAATATGTCATTTCTGTATGACACGCAATGGTAAATTCAAACAGATCATGAGCATTTTTGGTAAGCTTCTCTAGGGTATCTTTATCTTTCTTTTGTTTTGTTTCATCGAGACCAAGTTGAATAACACTAGAAGCTAGGTTGGAGATATCTGAGCTGCTAGTATCCTGGGACTGGGATTTCAAAATATCCGCTGCGTCTCTTTCGAAAGAAAAGGCACAGCTATAAAATTCTGATTTTTTTTTTGAAAAGAAAGAAAAAACAGACATATTTGGTAAATATAAAGTGTTTTTATTACAAAAAAAATCTCTTTATCTATATTCTTTCCGTGTCAATAATTAATTATTCATCACTTTCATGATACCTTTAGCGTTCGTTTTCACAAACTCCTTGCCAGCCATTATTGTCGGTATACAATCATAATCGACTGATACAGAAATTATATATAAAAGAATTAGTGATAAAGTCTGTATTAGTTAGAATATATATAAAAAGAAAAGAAAAGAAATTAGAACTCTGCCTCATACCTGCTAAAGAAAAAATAGGCCAAAATGTATCAAAATCGATTTTTGGTCTCAAGTATCCAAACATAATCTCGCAAAGAGAATCCAACTCAATAAGACGAGCTGCTTTAATGATTTCAAAGGCTTCGTCAACGTCGTTTACATCGCAGTTGGAAGAATATATAAAGTCCAGAACTTTCTTGAATATATCCGGATTTATACCCTGTATAGTCACAGTCCAATCCTTAGAGTCGTAGCTTCCATTCGTGAGTAAATTCTTAAACCAGGAAGAAGCCGTGGCTAGAATAATCTTGTGGCATCTAAAAATTCGAGTTTCATGACCTTTTATATAAACGCTTTTAGTTTTTATTTTATTTTATTTTATTTTATTTATTAATTAATTAATTAATTAATTAATACTAATCATAATAAAATTTACCAGACTCTGTATCATCTTCGTTTTCGCTCTTAACAATCTTGACAATCATGTCAGAAAACTCTGAAAATCTAGTGTGGTTTGAGAAGTTGAGAAACGGGGAAAGACAGAACGGTTGATCTGTTTCGCCTTCAAATTTGACAATTATGAGTGTTGGTTCAGAGGTTCCGGCCAGGCTAAAGTTATGAGTAAACTGCCAAATATAATTGCCTGCTATATATATATATATATACATATGTCAGTAAATTTTAGTCTTTCAAATAATTGTTATATATTATCAACAAAATTTTGCTGCTCTAATAATTAAAGCATAATATATAAAGGATCTTTATTAAGTTTCTCTCTATATCTGTTTTTATTTTTCTTGAGATATTTATTAGAGATTATGATTTTAGTTGTTCAATCGTACCTTTTTTGACAGACTTTATTTCTGTTGGCTTGGACACGATGTCATAAAGTTTAATATGACCCCTGATGCTGCTAGGCAGTCTGCGAGTGTCTTTGACATCCATTTTTCTCAAAGCAATCGCAACAGGTTGATCCTAAAATCCGGGTAAGCTTTCACGGTTAATATGTATATAGAAATAACGCCACTATATGTATATATCACTTACATCACATTCTGAAGAGAGTCTTTTCTCTATCTATATTGTCCAGAAAATTATGTAACTTCCGTTCTTATATACGCTGATACTCGTATTTTGACAGCATCATATACTTACAAAAAGTGTACTATACACACACAAAATAGGTTAATAAAAATGAAGCATTTCAGATATTTATATATATATAAAGAATGCATACTAAAATGCCTTTCTTTACTACTGCTAAAAGCAGCTATTGGTTTTAACTTTACGGACATTTGACTTACCACACGTAGATACCATGGATAATCTGATCCATAATTAAAGGTTTGGAAGGTTGTATCGATCTGGCATTCCGTACCATGAAATGCATACCAGACAGGTTTGATTTGATTTCTGGTCTAAATGGTATACAAGTCAGCTAAATGATATACACTTATATAATTGCTTGCACTTGCTCTAAACTCATGTTAAAGATAAGCGTTTAAAGTCTAACTAAGAACCTTATTTAACCGTTCATTTAAATACTTTTTTTTAAAAAAATAAAATAAAATAAAATAATAAAAGGTTTATCGATTATGTATCAATGGTAGTCATCTTGCTCACCTATCAATAAAAAAATAATACGCTAATTTTTGAGATACAGTGTTTATTAATTAATATATTAAATACAAAAAACATATATAAGAAGAGATAAAGACTAACAGTATGTGTCTAATCAATAGCTTATTCATTAATCAATTGCTCAGCCTTGTCGTATAAATCAAGTCTTTTCTTTTTTTTTTCTCAAAAGAAAAACTTGTTTGATAATGTAAGATATTATATATATATATATTACAAGATTAAATATTGATAATGTTTAAATAATACTATCTTTGCTTGGTATCTAAAACCTTTCTATCATAAAAATGTGATATGCTACCTTTTCAGTGAAAAGTATTTGTGTACAGCCAGGATTTTAAAGAGAGAGAAAGAAAGAGAGGTAGGTCTCTTGTAGTACTTTTTCAAACTTGATAATAAAAACATTAACGAAAAAAGCCAATCTTAGCTTAGCCAAAGTGTTATTTATTTGTAAAATGTATATGGGATATAAACCAAAAACAAAAGTATTGTTGCGATTGTAACAGACGAGAGCTTAAGTTGAAAGATTGAAGTACAAAGAAGTCAGGGCTTACAACAACCTTATCTGAGGAGTTGTAGCAATATAATTTCAAAAAAAATCCATAAACCAACATCCCTACTTTTTTTTTAAAAAAAATAAAATAAAATAAAATATATAGATAGTTTAACTACGAGAATGTCCAGCCCACAAGGACATTATTTTTACTATCTAAGACTATGAGGGTACTCAGCCAGATTGATCGATCAAATTCTTGTGTAAATCTTAGCCAATGATATAAAATTTGTAGTTGAGGATACCAAAAGTACAAAAGTACAAAAGTACAAAAGTACAAAATTCGTACAAAATTCATAGATTTTTTTTATATAGCATTTATAGAATAAGCTTTTGCACATTCTGATTTCTTCTTTGAACTTGTAGGCATCTAGACTCTCGAAGAAGTCAAGTGTTCTTTCCCTTTACTCAACATCCGGCAATACATTGTCAACCTTGTGTATGTATTTATTGGCTTCAAGTGTTTCGTTCAAGCTCATTCATGACAGCTATCTGCTCCAACTTTATATTAACTTCCATTTTGATTACTTCTAAAATATTTTTAGTAAGCTCGTCTGCACTTGCTGATAAAGACTCTACCAGTGTTTTTTATTTTTTTTATTTTTTTTTTCACGATAAATTCACTGATTTTATGCGATTTCTTCAAGACATCAATTGCTTGTTGCTTTGTACTATATTTTGGCATGTAAGATGGAGAGAAAGATAAAAATATTATCGTATTGCATATATATATATAAAGTAAGGATTAGGCCAATCAGAGAGCCGTATGTCTTTCGATCAAAGTTTGATCGATCAATCTGGCTGAGTACCCCCCAATGTTTGTGACTGCCTTGCCTTGGTTACTCACAATTAAAATAAAAACTACTTTTTTATTGTTGTTCAAATTCATAAACCCACCTATCTATTTTTACTCCACTTATTATATATATATATCTATGCTTGCATCAGATTTACCATTCGAGCTACTTTCGAAAATCACGGCTTTATTATTGCCAAAAGACAAACTTTCTTGCGCTCTTACTTGCAAGAACTGGAGAACTCCATATCAAGAATCGCTTTGGAGTAATATACAAGTCAATTCATTCCCAAGACTTGAATACATGTGCGCTACAGTAAAAGATCAAGACGGAAACATTATATGATACACTCAAAGGACAAAAAGCATATGTGTTACTGGAGAAACAAACTTATCCCAATGGATTCAGAGTAATATCTTGAACGTCTTTCACAATGTAGAGGATTTTGACATGGGATTCTTATCGTTGTACAGAACCGACCTACAGAAAGCGAACTATATTCTTCCACAATGGAAGCCTGTGACCAGCCTAAAACTCAAACTTAAACCACGTGACTGGTACATATCGGCACATTTGATCCTGGAGATCTCACGAGTATTTCCCAATGTCAGGGCAATAGACATATCTCTTTGCTGCCATAATTCAATTGAGTTCAAGTTGGATCATTATAATTACTTTCACATTGCATTACCAAACCTGACAAATATAAAGGCTTTCTTACTCCTCGACTTTATTCACCCAGACGAAGTACCATCAATTCCAAGAACTCGGCCAGCGCTCGATGTAACAAGCCTCTCTTTCGATCTCATAATCCTGAATCATACATGGATATACTACTTTATATACAAGTATCCAAACCTGCGTACATTGACCTGGAAAGCTGCGTACCAAGAAAATTTGGACTCTACTATAGAGTACGACGAAAGAAAGGCATCACTAATCCGATCCGTCGAAAAAGCATTTCTACACCTGGAAACATTAGATTTCTGCATTAGCGAACCTACAGAATGGGCTCACGCTCTTTTATGGGACCTCCTTTGCCCGTTAAGCGTACCCATCAAGGATCTAAAGTACAAGATCAATTCAAGCGATTGTGGAGTGCCTTTCCTTGAAATGGTTATCGAACGACTTGTACAATCCTTTTCAACAACACTCAAAACACTCTCCGTTGTCGGGAGTGTATACACCAACGGTGAACCAATTTACAAGCCAGATTTCCTATACTGTCCACACCTGGTGAGCGTGGAAATCAATGAATGTGGCGTATCGATTGCATTGGACAGCCTATTGGATAGCTGTCCAGCCTTAAGAAAACTATCTTTTTCCAGTGGACAGCTGTATATTAGTGAAGACCCACAAGAAAAGCCAAGTCTACATGGATTAGAAATTCTGATATTGGATAATATTGTGACAAATGTCTCTGTACTTAACTACACGTCTTTCAGGTGCAGAACTTTACAACGTATGCACTTGAGTCGCTCAAAAATTTGTTGATCAATCTCAGTCGAGACTAGAAGCTTGTGTATTGACATGTCTTGCACTAACTTCAAGCTGCTAAAGCTCGAACAGGTCTCATTCTACTCATCCAAAGAAGACATGAGCAAGGATACTACCATAAACCTGATGTTGATTTCCCAATTGACTGGTTCCCGCATGTCAACTGAAACAAAAGATAATTTGGAACCTTCAGTGGAGCATCTGGCCTGGTATCATATCAGTGGTGAATATACAGAGATATTTGATTCTACTCTAGAGACAAGGCAACTTTTGGAACAAGAGACCTACACTACAAATGAATACTTTCAAGTTTCCCAGTTTAAAGACCGGCCAATCTTTTCTAAACCTGAAAAATCTTTTGATGAACAAATTAACAAAGAAGATCTAGAAGAAGACCTCTGTAGAGGTTATGTCGAATTGAGGTGTGGACAAATAGCTGAATATATTGTACCTTCATTATGGTAATAATTGATGCTTTGTCTATTGAAAATAAAATAAAATAAAATAAAATATTCCACTGAAGAAACAGCCAAAGATCTATTCAACACAATAGTTTTTTTTTTACTCGTACCAAGATATATATATATATATAGTATGTAAATTTAAAGTTTTTCTAATTTTCTACTTTCTTTGTTTCTTAAATCACATCAACTAAGAAAAAACATATAATAATGATTGAAAATTGAATTGCTATTTAATTTTTTTTTTTTTTTAAAAAAAAGAATAGATGAAAATTTTATTTTTCTACTAAATAAAGCTTTGATTATATCAAAAGCATCAGATCATTTAAAGAATTTAGCAGTCTTGAATATCTTGGAAACGTAAGAAACTTTAAAGGCTTGGAAAATTCTAGGTGCTTTAAGGGTTATTGGGGTTATTAGGGACCCTAATGGCTTTACACAATTTAAAGACGCCAGAGATTTTAAATAATTCAATAATATCAGAAGCATTCTTGTCATAATCATATGCATATTATTATACATATACTATATATGATGGTAATTTTGTGCCCAATTGAAATAAACAGTAGAGAAGTAACTAAAGCTAAGGATCAAATGGCATACCGTATAGCAATTGAATTTACACAATAGAACTTTCATCATGAATGTTAGAATATGAGTATATAAAGTATGAAATAAAGTTAAAGAAACTAAAAAAACACATTGCAGTTATTACTATTTTATTTGAACCAAGGTTTTCAATTGTTGTATTGGATATTTTTGTTTTGTATCAAATATTCAAATAAACTTAGAAAACAGTTTTCTCTTTCTTAGAATAGTGTGGTTCTTGCTTATTAAACTGTCTTAATGGGGGTAACCTGTCTACCCCGTAAAGTATATAAAATAAATTCTTGAAAGTAAGAGTAAAGCTATCAATTAATGGCCTTTCTAAGTATATGATATTAGTTTTAATGGCACTTTTTCTCTTTCCATAAAAATTAAGACATCAAAATAAAGGACGTCCAAGTTGATTGTTGTGCTGGTGTAGTAGAAACAACGATAAGCTCTAATAATTCTAAAGGAAGAAACCGAGCAAAAGGCTTGAAAAAATATATATATAATAAAACAAAATAATCAGCTAGATTTTACAAGCTCCAAAAAAATACATTATAAAAGTTGGAGTCCTTCAAACGCGATAAGGAATCGTTATTATCGACTAGGGGGCTACACACCCATTCAACATAACCTCTACCAAGATCATCTTCCCAAAACTTCTTCGTTGTCTTTCTGCCAAAACCTTTTCGCACTTCTTGTGTACCGATGTTCTTCTTCTTATATGAGCTTTTATGGTAATAAGCAAGTATTTCTTGGCAATCTTGATCCGAAAGCTCCCTGTACCATTGCGTAAAGTTATTAACGTTTTCTGTCTCCTTGAAGCGGTGAAGCCAACATATGTAGCTCATAGAAGATTCTACACCTGCTGTTTCTTCATTTTCATCTGACTGGCTGGCTTCGGTGAGCTGGGACATCAATATCAAGTTTATTTTGGTTCTTTCGTTTAGATGCTCGGTCGATGAGTAGAATTGAACACGGTCGAATATTAACTTTTGGGTTTTTGTATATGGCATGTCAATGCTCACTCCTTTCGTTTCTTCGGATATTATTCCACAAATTTGTAGTCTGGTCAACTTGATAAGTTCCAAATATCTGCACCTGAAATACAGATGGTTAAAGAAACAAGTTATTACAACCGTATTGTCTAGTTCCAAAGTCTGCAACCCATGCTGTGCTTTATCCTTATATGCTTGTGAATTACTACTATGCAGCTTTCCTCTAGAGATTCGAAGCTGTCTAAGGCCTGTACAGCTATCCAATAGATTGTCCAAGTCGATTGAGATGTGGCGGCATTTGACTTCGAGATTCACTAATAGTGAATAGCAAGAAAAATCTGTGCGTATAAAGTTATAAACATAGTAAGGTGTAGATCTCTCAAGGAACCCAATATTGGATATTCTTGCAAAGTTCTGTACAAGCTGTTAGATAACTGCTTTTATATATAAGCAATCTTATGTAGATCTGTAAATTACCTTGTATGTTAAATGCTTGATATAAATTCTTGACTGGTAAAAGAAATCCCAAAAGAAAGCATTCGACAATTTTGTACTGTCATTGGTATAGAGTGTAAACCTTTCTAGGCGCGTAAATCCTGGTACGATTGGACAAGAAACCAAGCCTTTTCTCTTGTGGTACTCTTCAAAGTTAAATTTGTTTTCATCACACTCGAGTCTCAGTTTCAAGCGACGCAGATTTGGATACTTGTGGTTAAAGTAGCATAGCCATAGATAATGCGACCATATACAATCCTTCTTTGTAATGATGAGATCAAGTGATGTTACCGAGAGCGCAGGTATAGTGTTTTGAAGATTATCTATAGTATCTTGGTCGATATCATCGAGAGAGAAACGACCCTTGACAGATTTCAGGTGGGGTAGATTGTTGTGAATAGTGTCTATGTCACTCGTGGTAAAGGTCAATATACGCTGTCCATCGTAAGAATATATATTTACTTCTTCGAGATTGGGGAATTGTGAGATAAAGCTGATAACTTTTTGCTGTTCCATTTCCTTCTTCATATTAAGGATTCAAATACTTAGGCTAACAAGTGATCTGAATGAGTCGCTACGGTTTGCATCGTATACATCGACAGTCTGAATATGTAAGCATCTCACATCAAGATGTGTCAAGCTCGAAAATATCTGAAAGATACCACATTCCAGCCAAGCAGTAAAGGTAGATTTTCCACCAACCGCCAAACTTTTGACGAGAGCGTAGGAATTCTCGTGTAGTGAGTCCTTTGGGATAGTGCAAATTTCACAAAGTTCTTCTATAGACTGTGCACTGATATTTTTCCAGAAGGATTCTTGAAACGGAACTTTCCATCTTTTACAAGCCAAAGCACACAGAGCTTTGTCCTTTTTGGATAGATGTTCGGCAATTTGCGAAAGGATCTCAATAGGTAGCTCTGACGGTAGCATAAATGAAAGAGAAATAGATATGCAAAGATTCAGGCTTTAAGAAGCAAACTTATATAGACGAATATATAAAGCAAAGTGGGGCATATGTTAACTAATGCTGGGAACACCTAGTGGTGTTACATTGGAATCAAAAGGCTAATTTTAGAGGGTACAACCCTCAGCCATAAAACCTTCTTTTATTTTTCCGTCTATTCTTGCGCAAATACATTTTTCAGAGTCTTCAATACAACTGATAAATATAGAGATTAGAAAAGTTGGTGGAATCAAATCTTTCAAGAGTTGTACAGGATACAAGAAATCTAATAAGGTACTTGCCATGTTTTATTTTTATTTTTATTTTATATAAAAGAGCTACTTGTTACTTAAACTAAATATTGAATATTATTTTTTATTAGACTTACAAGTAATAACATATACTAGCTCAACAAAAAAAAGGCTTTCTCCGTTTGATTGTAAACTAGCTATAAACTAAAAATCTTATCAAGGCTTGTTTATTTAGTCTTTTTAACCAAGTTATATGGGACATACAAGTTTGAAAGATGTGAATAAAAAATGTTTAGTTAGACTTTGTTTGTACCATTGTAGACTTACATCCGAAACTTCACATCACTCTCTATATTCTTGCAGTTTTTTTTTGTTTTTTTTTTTGCGAACGTCTTTATATACTATACAAAATAAAAGAAGGTTTTATGGCTGAGGGTTGTACCCTCTAAAATTAGCCTTTTGATTCCAATGTAACACCACTAGGTGTTCCCAGCATTAGTTAACATATGCCCCACTTTGCTTTATATATTCGTCCATATAAGTTTGCTTCTTAAAGCCTGAATCTTTGCATATCTATTTCTCTTTCATTTATGCTACCGTCAGAGCTACCTATTGAGATCCTTTCGCAAATTGCCGAACATCTATCCAAAAAGGACAAAGCTCTGTGTGCTTTGGCTTGTAAAAGATGGAAAGTTCCGTTTCAAGAATCCTTCTGGAAAAATATCAGTGCACAGTCTATAGAAGAACTTTGTGAAATTTGCACTATCCCAAAGGACTCACTACACGAGAATCCCTACGCTCTCGTCAAAAGTTTGGCGGTTGGTGGAAAATCTACCTTTACTGCTTGGCTGGAATGTGGTATCTTTCAGATATTTTCGAGCTTGACACATCTTGATGTGAGATGCTTACATATTCAGACTGTCGATGTATACGATGCAAACCGTAGCGACTCATTCAGATCACTTGTTAGCCTAAGTATTTGAATCCTTAATATGAAGAAGGAAATGGAACAGCAAAAAGTTATCAGCTTTATCTCACAATTCCCCAATCTCGAAGAAGTAAATATATATTCTTACGATGGACAGCGTATATTGACCTTTACCACGAGTGACATAGACACTATTCACAACAATCTACCCCACCTGAAATCTGTCAAGGGTCGTTTCTCTCTCGATGATATCGACCAAGATACTATAGATAATCTTCAAAACACTATACCTGCGCTCTCGGTAACATCACTTGATCTCATCATTACAAAGAAGGATTGTATATGGTCGCATTATCTATGGCTATGCTAC